AAAAAAGGGGTCGGCGGCACCAGGGGCGGAGCCCTTAGAATATATATAACTAATTATCTAAGAATTAGTATATAAGGTTGAATAATATTGGACCCAAACCATGTGGTTTCGGCTCGGATGCCAATGAGCTTGTGTCGTTCTTTTTCAGGTCTCCGCTGATCTTGTGGTTTCATTGGTGTAGGTCGCTGGACGAGTCTCCGTGACTACTGACGAACTAGCGATTCGACCGGCGAAAAAGCGCGGCAGCGGACGGCCTTCTTCAGTATCCACCAGTTCAAGGTGACAGTCTCAACCAACATACTTAGGCACCTACATCTGCAGAAATGGCTTGGGCGCCTAGGCGCCTGTGTTTGGGTGGGCTGCGGTTTCATTCGACCTATTTCGTCTCTGCTACCGACGACCAAGACCCACCTGCATCTGGAGGTCTCCCGCCAAAATGTCGCCGATGGTGTCGTCTGCACCCACCAGCTGCCCCACGGACAAACGCGCTGTAATGCTCATGGCGAGATGAGGCTTGATCCTCAAGCAGATGGGACGCGAACCCCAGCCGCGAAGCCCAAAATAGGGCTCGTTGGGGTCATTTTTGAGAGGGCTCAGCATCAACAGAAGACATTGAACATGGAGAATGAAAAAAGTAGCCTCACATCGGATGTGATGGATGCTTTGGGGTTTGGACCCTGCTCCGAATACGAACACCCAGAGTGGCGCGAAAAAAGGAGGCAATCAATCCATTCAATTCTGAGTCTGGAAAGCTTCCGGTTGATGAAGGGTGAAGGCATGTGAATTCTGCTAGTGACCAGCTACAATTTGCAAGCTGACATGATCTGTATGACTCTGACTTTGCTGATCATCTTTGAAAACGATCTCACACAAAAAAGTCACCCCCGAAAGAATACACCCCAAGAAGTGAGCACTTGAAGAAGTCGCAGAACATGACTATGGCCAGTCAGAACATGACTGGCTGATTGCCGACTCACCCCTCCGGGCCACTCCGGGCGTTCGGAGTGGCAGGCCGGAACGTCGGTCCGGGCTGCCCGACCGTCGAGTTGACACCTACCACGGTGTGGGTCCACCGCAGGTCTCAGCCTTCTCGGCGGAGCCACCGGATAAAGCCACCGAGCGGCGTGACACCATTCACTCGGATATCATCCCCATCTCCATGGGCCAAGAGCACCTGAGACATGGGCCAAGGCCCCAAGAGCTTGGGACACGTAACTTTGGTCAAGCGGGACGGGACCAGTTGTGCGTCCTTCCATTTGGTGCTTCATTTGGTGGCTGCCCTCGCACTTTTGTCACCCTGGATCTTTGTGCTTCAGTGTCCTAAGTGATGACACCTCCAAATGATGGCACCTCGGCACTTCTTCATGGGCTCTCCAAAAGCCTCCCCCACTCCGACCCCAGAAGACCGCCCAGCTGTCCCACGTCGCCCACGTCTCCACCCAAGGGAACCAGTCCAACACACCGCTTTCGTCCGCGAGCTCGCGCGAGCGGCTCGGCCCAAAGGCCCTGGTTCTCGCAGCTGGTTCCCGGCTCCGGGGCACCGACTTGGAGAGTTTCCGGTCCACTGAGATGCCCAGGCTGAGCTCGGGCACCAGCCCCGCCAAGCGCGAGAGCCCCGGCGCGAACTTGTCCGCGAAGCACTCCATGGTGTCGGCGCTGATGGACAACCTGACAACCAAAAACGCCCCAAAAAAGGGGGAAGACCGGTGTTTCACCGATGTGTCCTGGTCGTTCGGAAGGTCGAAAATGGTCGAAAGGGACAACAGACAAGGGTCGCTCAGGATGCTGCAGGGTTTGAAGATGGAGGGCCAAACCCGAAAAATGGTGATCCTACTGGTGATCCTGTACCAAGCGTGATGTGAAATTGTGTGGACAGACGAGTGACACGGAGGCTCAAAGGATTGAACTTTAACCACCAAAATGAGGATATCTTGCAATCAATGAGATGACTGATACTGAGACAGTGAGATGTAGTGACAGAAGAGGTGCAGGTATAGACACGGCTGCCGGAAAAGGGTGGCTGTGGAGGGAGCTCTCAAGTGGTGGATGAATCAGATGTGTAGAACATGTTTTCCCACGACGAACATAGTGTTGGTGTATGCACTGCAAAGCAGTGTTGCTGTTAACAGGCAAAATCCTGCAAAACTATGGAACCACGAGGGTCGTTGGCGATACACACACCATATGTACTTGACAGGGATTGGGTATATCTAGAAAGCGGCATTGCTTTTCTTCAGTGCAATGACCCCAAACTAGATAGAAAAGTGACCCACCATGACATCCTCTCCTTCTGTATGTTTGCGGCACTGCTGTAGATATCTGTAGAATCAATGCACTAGATTCTTTCTAGTTACAGTAGCGCTAAAAGGAATTGTATGGATTAATATATCATGGATCGTCAACCCAATGTCTATCAACTTCGCAAGTATAACATTTATCTTCTGTCATCCTGTGTTTGGAGATGGATGGAAGCTAGAATGTGCAATGAACATGACATCAAACACAGAATCCAGATCCGAAGCAACCGTTCGGGACAGCGTGCTTCCATATTGGACGCTGGTCCCTGGTCCCAGGAAGCTACACAACTGAGGAGAACCACCCGTCTACACCCACCACAACTAATCCAGTTGAATGCTGCTCCAAGTCACATGAAGTTCAGGCCCGAGTCACACTTGTTGAAAGCAAATCCTGCTTTGAGCTCGGTAAATTGATCCACAGATGAACCTGGATCGGTTGCTGCGCCACGTTTTGCTGGCTGCGCAGCTAAACGCGGTTTGCGGTGTTGAGGTTTCGACTCAAGATTGATGATCTTCGGGGATGACATGCAGATCTTTTCCATGCTTTCGGATGAGAAGATGTTGGGATTGATATCAAAGGATGATCGCTCTGGAACGCCACAAGACAAAGCTTTCACCCAAAGCGGTCGTCTGCAACGCCACGGGCCTGCCGGGCAAAAGAAGCCCATGTATAAGCCAACGGTGCCCCAGTCCTGTGAATCCTGCGGGTCAATGAAGAGGTTTCGCAAGTACGTGAGGCCTTGGTACGAATCCTCGGCTCTGCGAAGCTTACAGGAACCCAGGCAACACAACGCGGCCGCGCAACGCGGCCGCGCAAAGCAAGCAGCCACCCCTGGAAAACCATCTTCCTGTGGGAAACCACCAGGTGGTCATCCACGATAAGATGATTCTTTCAGGGAGTGTGCTCGATTCAGTTCTTCCTTCTCTTTTGCTCTTGGGGTGAGGGATTTGTTTAGGGAAAACCGAGAAAAAGCATCTGCTGGGCACAGTCTGTGGATGCATAGAGGGATCCACTCGTGCCGTAGGTGTTGCCCACGATCCACGAGCCACTGCGGTCACCCCAACAAAAAATCCAGCCAGCAGAAGGAGACAGGTCATCCCAGACCTTGAAGAAGGTATCGAAAAAGTTGGAGCTGCCACCAGCCAAGAGATTGGCAAGCTTGTGTTTCCTCGGACGAAGGGGTTGTCATTTCCGAGTCACCAACTTGGTCCCGCCAAAAATAGGCCAGTTGGTACCCCAAAAGAGGAAACGGCACAAAGGATTCCGATTCAGGAATCTGAAAAGACGGAAAGTCGATCATCATGTCCTGCGAAATGGCATGAAATGGCATGAAATGGCCATCTTCATCCAAGCGACCAATCTGTGTTGGTGTAGCACTGTCCTCCTGTGCCCATTCCACAGCCTCCAAGGTGGCTTTCTTGGCGGTCGCTGACCTCAAGGTGGATTCTGGAGTTCAATCCACATGGTGGAACGCTATCATGCAAGTGGAAACTTCCCCTGTTTGTGGGGAAAGTGGTCTCACAGGAGTGGCATAATTGTGCACATTCATGATATTGTTGGAGGGAGGGAAACCGGAGGGAAACCAATCAAAAGTCGGCACCCAAAGTCTGTCTCTCGGCCGGCTGTTGCATTGCCCATCACCTACCCACAGCTGAAAAAGTTCTGTCCTGCCCTCTGGTCTCATCAGGCTGGACTCATTTCAACTAGCTGGGGGAATTGACCCTAAAAGGCACAACCTGCAATCAAAACCATTTCGCAGCCGGGGGAGAACAACACTCTCGCAGCACACCGAAGTCCCAAAACCAAGTGAGTTTGGGGGGGTTATCGTGTCATCTTTGTCACGGTTGGTGGAATCATCCTGTTGTTATTGTTTCCATTTTTTTCCCAAGAAAGACACTGAAGGTTGAATCATGCGACCTGTATCACCGGGAAAGGGCAACTGTGGCTGCTGGCTGTGCATGTCCTGTGCATGTCTAGTCTAGTGAACTAGGTCCTCTCTCATGAGGCTCATCGGCTCATGCCGCTCACCTTCTTTTCACCTAAGCCCATGCCTGCACAGTTCCATTCATCTTGTGTCTTTGCAGCATTGCTTCGCTTTGGGCTGCACATGCTTCGGGGCTGCTGCAGAAGGCATCTGCGTCACCCCACAGGGCCAAGAGGACAAGTAAAGTGAAAGCCATTCTGGCGAACTCAGGGCTCACGATTTAAGGTGTGTGTAAGGTTGAAACCCTTGAGCCAAAGTGGCCGTGAAAACAGCCAACAAACAGTCTCCAACGCGGGCCGTTGCAAAGTTGCATGCCGTTGCCGTTGCCAAAAACCACTGATTAGTTGGAACTCTGCTCACAAACGACGTGGACCGACCCTGCTTCCGCCGAAGCCAACGCCTTCGGCTCCGAAGCCAAACTGATTTTCTCCTCTCCCAGACCGGAAGCGGAAACGCCTTCGAGACCGAAGCTCAAAGCATGGGCATCTCATGGCCGAGCAGTCTGTCCAACTGGAGGTCGGCGTCGACACGTCCACGCCGCGTGACCGGTCGTGGGAACGGCGTAGGTGTGGCGGTGTGGAACGGCTGCTTTTCTGACCAAAGACACTTGAGAACTGGGCTGAAACAGCGAGGCTGGGGCGGCTGGGGTTTTTGTTCGTTTCTGCGGGTTTTTGTTCAGTTGCGCATGGTGACCTGCTGACCCTTTCCGCAACGTGTCGGGGCGTTCGTCGGGGCTTTCGTCGGGGCATTCGTCGGTTTGGAAGCACGGAACTCTCTTGGGTGCTGCAGAGAATCCTCTGCGTGTGGCAAATGGTTTTGTAGCATGTTCTCACCAAGTTCTCCACTTTCCCTGAGGGATTTCTAGAAGTTTCCTTGAGCCAATCATGCATGTCGGCCCATGCCATGACCACTCAAGGTCTCGAGAGATTCCCACTGATTTCAGGTCTTTCAGACGGCAAGAATTCCCTAGAATCAAAGAAACACTCTGGATACCGCTTCATTTGATACTTCTTCAGGTTTCCAGGACTGCCACTATAAACCCACAAGAACCTAAGAGAACCCCAAGTGAACCTAATGACAGCCCACAAGAACCTAAGAAACACCCAAGGGATCCTATGTGTTTCCTGGTGAAAATTGCAACTCTAAACAGCAGCATGCAAGCACTCCCACTCATGTTTTTCCATCAGATCTTGTCTGAGGGAGTGCTGTCTTTCCAGCTTTGAAGAACCAGCTTCCTTCCATCGCCTTGCAGGGCACAAAAAAAATCTTCAAAAACACACACACATTTCAACAACTCCACATTGTGGTCACATGGAAACCTCTAAGTGTGTATGATTATTATACCCAAAATTACCCAAACTGTTTTTTTAAAAAAACAAACCCTACCTAAAAAACAAAACATCACCACCATCATATGAGCTCAAGATTGCACATGGACTCATGGACTCATGTCATGCGGCCTGATGATACAAAAATTGCACCTCAGTCAGTTTAAAGAAGACTTGCACAAAGCAATTTGCCCAGCAAGGCATAAGTAAGTAAGCAAGTAGGCTTTGTATGAACATTTTTCCTTTTCACTGATCAGTGGTCAAAGGTCAAAGCTGCCCAGCAGCCAGAGTGAAGCCCAACACAGGCTCTCCCATCTCACAGGCTCTCACACTTCACCCACATCACAAACATTGAATTGATCCCAGTTCTTTGTCTCCATTACCCACATGATTAAGTTCTTTGTCTATCACACTTTACCCAAATGATTAATCTCTGATACCATTTCTGGCAATCAGCAGGGAGTGGGTAATAGCAACAAAATGTTGCTTTGTTTCATTGTTGTTCAAACTTTATATTGCACATTATTAATTAAGGCCAGGGTGGTGGGAGGGAGGGAGGGGCAGCCAAATGCTGCTGCCCTAGGCCACAAACCTGAGCTTGGGCCATGGGCAATGCACATTGATTTTGAAGTGTTTGCCTTTGGCTTCTGAGTGAGAAGCAATTTGCAAGGGAAGTCAAAGGGAAATGCTCAGGCACAGGATTGCACAAGACTCCATCCACTCAAACCTCCAGTCCTTCCATGTCATTCAACACAATGCCCAGTCCACTGTTCCATCCTCAGGGGGTTGGCAAGTGCCCACAGCCAGCTCCATCCAATATTTGAGATCACCATCAATGACTGACAATTGCTTGTGCACACCTTTTTCCCCTTAGATGGCAGGGCTGGAGTTTCTTTCAGCCAAGCAGGCCCACAAATTCAAATGAGCCCAGTTGACAGCACTGTTTCAAATGACCTTAGAAAGTTCTCCTAGATTCAATGGCAGGGCTGGAGTGCCTTTCAGACAGCCAGGCTAGCCAATTCAAGGGGCACAGCCCAGCTGAAGAAAGTTCTCCTTTCAAAAGCCAATCTCAAGTCTGAAGGATACACCTCCACTCATGATCATGTTTGCACTAGAATTCCTGCAAAGTTTCACTGCATCACTTGTTATACCTCTTGGGCTCTGGGAGCTCACTAATGATAGGTTGAAGGGCATCCAAACTCTCCTGGGGCACAGCACCTGGTCTTTGCTCAACCTGCCCAGAGGGTAGTGGAAGCTCTGCCTTAAGTAGCTCCCAGGCATACTGGTGAACCAGTGCCAAGCCTTCTTGCCAGGACCTGATTTGGGTGAAGGAAGCAGTCTTTGTTGCTTTGTCATACGCTGTGCCTTTCACTTTGTCACTGCTGGAGGGAAACCTGCAAGTGAATCGAGAGTCCATGTATGAGAGCCCCAATGTGCACCCAGGGGGTGACAATTTTGACAGAATCTCCTCTGGAGATTTGTAAACCTTTGGGTTGGGTGCCTTGGATGCTGGAGGCCTCTCAGGCATGGTCTCTGGCGTTGCCTCATCATCTCCTCCTGGTCTGGCCTGGGAAGAACTGGAGGCTTCACCTGGCATTGGGTCACCAAATGGCCTGGGCTGGGAAGCATTGGGGGCTGCCTCTGGCATTGGCTCATCAGGTGGTGGCATGGGTTTGGAAGAGCTGGAAGAAGTTGCACCTTCCTCCTTCTTTGCAGCTTGTGCCTCTGGGGCAGCTGCCTCCACCTCAGTCTGACCCTTGGCTCTTTTCCTTGCTTTGTCATCCTTTTCTTGCTGCCCTTCTTTCCTCCCTTTCCTTTTCCCTTACCTTTGGCAGTGCCTCTCCCTTTGCCTCTCCCCTTGCCTTTCCCTTTACCTCTCCCTCTCTTTTTGGTTTGTACAGGCCCATCTGCATCAATCATTTTCCTCTTCAGTCTTGCTGTTCTTTTTTTGGCTTTCAAATCTTTCAAATCAGTCTGGTTGCCTTCTTCTTGGTTCAGCTCAGAAATGACCTCACTGAACTCTGAGTCAATCCCATCATTCACCTCACATTCTGCTTTCTGGTAGGCCTGCCAAGCACTTTCCCACTTGTCCTCATCAAGGCACATCTTGAAAAGGACTTCTTCTACCTCCTTCCTGCTGGGGTTTCCTTTGATGTGGAAATCAGCAAGTGTCTGAATGAGGCGCTTGATGTATGAGACCCCCACACTCTTCAGGTTTTCCAAGCAAACAGCAACATGTAGCGGCATTGCTTCACCTGCACGCTTCCAGCCAAGTGGTCCACGTAAATTGTTCACTACCACAGGCTCAGAAGGGATCACCACCCAGTCATGCAGGTCTGTGATGTGAAGCCAAAGCAGGTGGTTCCTATCTGGCTTGCAAAGGAAGAGATTTGTGCCATTCACTTCCTCCACTGTCACTTGCCATGCCAAGAAGGAGTGCTGTGCAGAAGCCGCAACCTTGACAAGCAAGGATGTGGAATTCTGGGCCATGATCTTTCCTGCAGGGGCAAGGATGGAAAGCCATGAGGCATTGATGTCCCCAGCATCTGCTTTTCCTTTCTTGAACTCCCAAAAGTGAATGAGCCACTTGGTGGCAGCAATGCTTTGGAACATGGCTGCTGCGTTGGGTGTTGGCCATGTAGAAGCCCCTCGACCTTTGTTTGGCAGCATCATGTTCTGTATTGCTTTTGGGAGCTTGTGTGTTGATGCTTTCATCTGCTTGGTAACAGCTTGGTTCTGGCTCCTCTGACAAGATGCCTGCACTTTCTGGGCAGCTGATGCCTTCACAACATTCATGCCTCTTTTTTCCCAGAATGTTGGAACTCAAAACCTGCCTCATGATTGTGGTGTTGCTAAATGTGTCAGACTTGGAGGCCCTAAGCAGGTCTTTGGCTTGCTGGTGCGCTACTTCAATCAGCCTTGAGTCTCCCAAGTTCTTGCAGAGGACCTTCATGAGCTGCTGTCCCTGTGCCATGGCCTGCTCAAAGCTCATCAACACCAACCTGACAACTGGACTCCATCTCCAGTGCATGTGGTCGAGTGCTTCAATTTGCACACCTGCCTGGGAAGCTGCCTCTGCCTCCAGCAGGTAGGTCCAGTGCTTCTTGGCCATGTTGCAGGCACTTGTGGCAATCCCCGAATTTGCTGAAGGGCATGGGCATAGCACATGGGTGGTAGTTCATGGGCAGATGCCAGAGATTGCACCCTAGCTTCCATGATCTTCTCCAGCAAGTCCATGTGCCAAGTCAGGGCCTCATCATGTCCAATCCACTTGGGCAGCACATGCTGGATGTTGTCAGATCTCCAGAGAGCATTCTCAACCATCTCTTCAAGCTCTATTGCCCAGTACTTTGATCCTGCACATGCCATATTGTGCTGCTGAACTTGGATGGGGCTGGTGATGTCCCTTGCCCTTGTGGCATGCTGCTTCCAGGTGGCCCTTCCAACTGACAAGATAGAGTCCTTGATGCTCAGGCTCCTGTGGGTGATCAAAGTTGGTGCAAGCTTCCAGGTGCCTTTTTTCTTTTTGAGCTCTTGCAGCTCTTTTCTAGGATCAGCCTGGTCATTGCCACCTCTGGATGCACCACAGGGCTGACTCCCCGACTGTCTTCCTCTGCTGCGGCTGGCCGCCTCAACACACCTCTTCTGCGAGGTGCCGCGGCAGGACGGTGAGCTACTTTCGGCGCCATCCTTTCCCTTGACCTTTGCCGCGGCCTGAGCCGCGGTTCGAGTAGTATTGTCCTCTAAGGACGTGTTTGTATCCTTTCCACCTCGGTGCCCTTCTGCTGTCCTCCTGATAGTAACCGGGAGGGGAATGCGAAGGTGTCCTCGGTCGCCTTGGTAGTGGCTTCCTCGCCGATGGCTTGGCTGTCCTGCTAAGGTTGTACTTTCTGTCTGACTCTTCGTCGTCGTGAACGACCGGTTGAGGCTCTTCCGCCTCTTCTTCCTCTTCCTCCTCAGGTGTCGCTACAACCGCTTCCTCCGGGGTCTTGTCCGCCTCGGTCTCAACCTCGGTATGGCCAGGGCTATTTCCCCGCGACTTTGGTTTGTCCTCCTTTGATCTCCTCCTTCTCGACCTGCTCTTGTCTCGACGTGTCCTGGTACGGGAGCGACGTCTGCGATGATGCGACTTGTCCGTCTCGGCCTTCGCGTCCTCAACTGGTTCTTTCTCCTGGTCCTTCTCGGCCTCCGACTCCTTTTTCACTGGCACTCGAGCTGATCCAGCTTCCGCGTCACGATCTCCTTGATGGATACCTCTGGAGAAAGGGTCTTGCCCCGAATCGCGCTTCTTGCCAGGGATGGGAACCCCGTCTGCGCTCACCAACCCTGCAGTTCGATCGGATTCGAACCGCTCACAAGCCGACTCGATGGTGTCCACGACGCGCCGCAAGTATTGGAAGAGCTCCTCAGCGGAGACCGGTGGGACCCTGGTGAAAACCAGCTGTTGTACCCGCACATACAGGTAACAGGGATTGCAATACCCCGAGCTTCCGGTCGCAACCTTCAACCGCGAATTGCAGCCACGGCAGGCTGCCATTCACGTGCTGCAGCCGAAACACTACGGAACATAAACAATCGGTGGCCTACTCTTTAATCCCGGGGGCGGGAGACCATATAGTTCAATATATTTCATATATGTATATTACAGTAATAATAAGCTCTTAAAGGCTTCCCAAGCTTTCCACCCTCCAGGCCTGCACCATCCTCCACCTCTTCATGGTCCCTTGAGGGTGGTGGCAGTGGTCCTGCAGTGACCAACAACTGGACTGCCTCGCTCCCAGCGCTGCCCGTGCTGGCCGGCTCGTGCACGCGCGCTGCGCGCGGCAGCGGCCCCGAGGACAGGCCCGTCACCTCCAACGGCGCCGCCGCGCCCGTCGCGGCTGCTTGCAAGTCGTCCAGCGCTGCTCGGCGGTGTTCCGGCAGCGGCAGAGATGGGAGAGTTGAGATGGGATCTGGGGCTAGCATGGATTTCTGCAAGAGCCCCAGACTCTCCAGGTTTTCTTGGTGTCTGGCTCTCAATTGTCGAAGTTGTTCCTCTTCGTCTCCGGCCAACGACCGCAGCTGCACCTCCGTCTCGGAGAGCTTGCTGGCTGCCCGGAGAGCGGTTTCACTCACGTCGTCCTTCACGCCAGGGAGCTCGGTGCGATCGGCACTTCTGAGACCTAAAGTCCAAAGTTGTTGGGCCAGAGGTCCTCCAGGATGTGCGCATGATGTGAAGCTAGAGGCTGAGGACTGAAAAGTCCGTAGATCTGCACAAAAACTGCCTTGATTCGATACATCTCTGTATCAGAAATCACCTTGACATACCTGACTACTAGGATCTATTTGGCATGCCATGAGCCAATTCAGAAGAGAACTTGAGAAAAGCACAAGTCCATGAGTTGAAATTTAAAGAGCCTCTAAAAACGGAGTCCATTCCGACTTTGTTCCAGCTCCTCTGGGACATCCCCAGGTATCGGGCAGAGGAGGTTCCAGAGGCCGCTGCCATGAAGGTATCATGATTGGTGGCGCTGGCTCCGGGAATCTCGGTTGCATGGCATTGACATCGGCCAAGGGGTTCATCGTCAGCACTGGGCGCCTGCAGGGAACTCGGCGAATCCTGGGTTGCCTACAAAAGTCCTGGTAGATGGCACGAAACGGTCACCACCCCACTCACCCAGAGCTCGCGTTGACAAAACAGATGTCCCTCAACATCCCTCAACCACGTGATTCCTATAGATATTTACTCACTTCCGGGAACCCCCAAATGCCAACCTCTCCTGCCATGCCGATCGCCGTCGCCCCCGACACCGGGCGCCTTGGACTCGACACCGGACCCTTTCCAGGTGCTGGCCGGAAAGGCCAGTAGTGCCCGGTCACGTGCCCCGTTGGCTCCTTAGGACGGTGACATTGGAGATCGGACAGAGCATCCTATAGCAGGCTATATACAATAGCCAAGAATTCGGGGCTTAGTAATTCAATGCAATTGATTGTGTGTTTGTTCCTACTGGGTTTGCTCGTTTTGAGCATTTGTCATTTGTGGTGCAGGATGTCCCCATCATCAAGAGTATGGATCTTTAGTTCAAACGCATGCAATTCTCATGCCTCTAGCTCGACGACTTACTTTCTGTCCATATTAGTCCATATTAATGTATAAAAATAGATCAAAATAGCAAATATTGCCTATATTGTAGATGGAAAACGAGCGGCTCTGGATTCTGGAGATGGCATTCTTCTGTGCACATGCATGCGCAAGCATGCAGCATGCGCAATTCTATGCAGGGATTAGGGATGTGTCTGCATGCCTACTTTTGTCAAGGCTGCAACCGAAGAGCCTTCCATGTTTCGGTCCGATTCTCTTTATAGTCCGAGTCCTCATTCTCAACTAGTTGAGGTGCGCCTTCCCAATCCTTCCCACGAAAACGGCGCTCAGTTCCCAACCTCCACACGGGCTGGGCGTTGTCCTGTGGTGGTTCTCGATCGAAAAGCACCCTCCCAACAGGCCCAAAAGAAAAAACATGTGAACAAAGCAATCCTAACATACCACCTACTGTGCTGACCAGCTTATCCACCTATCACCACTTCTCATACCTTCCTGCCAGCTGGTTGATTCTCCTCGAGGTGATGTCATTCGCTCCAACGAAGCTGACACCTCGCTCCAACGAAGATGCCAAAGCTTGGTCGGTCGTCGATTTGGGGGGACGGCGACGACGGCAAGGGAGATGCCCAGTTTTACCAAAGGATCCACAAACAAATCTGAAGAGTTGGGACTCTGAGAAAAATAGTTTCGAAACATCTTTGGCAAAGCATCTTCGAAGACTGCACATGACAGTAGAGTGATGAATGATCATCCAAGGTGCTTTCAAGGCAACTCAGATTCCGTTTTCTACTAGACTAGCAAGTCCGGAGAAATGTAAAGTGAAGTCAAGCCAGCACGTGGTAAAGTCACACAGTTGAACTGTACTCTGGATTGAAACGGTTTAGTCAGGTTCCAGACTCACGTTTCTGGAACACAGAATGAATGTGTCCATTCTCACCCTGATCATGGCTATAGTGTCTATACTCGTACCCACTTCCTCTGGGACATCTGGGAACAGTCTGAATCAGCCAAGGTGGCTACACTCACACCTCAAGTTTTGGACTTTGTTTTCCGTACAAAAGGGATCCAAAGGGGAAAATGCTTGGCCCTCTTCGCCTTCGATCTCTCTTCAAGTCGCCACACTCACACTCCCGAAAACTGGACCAGGGTCGAATAGGACCCGGGTCGAATAGGACCCGGCTCGTCCCTCTGTTTTCCTCAAACCAATTATTTTCAGGGTCCATGGTGGAAAAAAAAACCAGGAAAAAGAAGAAACACCTGAAGTTATGAAAATGAACCATCATTAAGTGCTTTGTCAACGGTTCGGTCCATGTTTTCTCTGGTCTTAGACCTCGTTTCTTCCATTCCCGACGTCGTTGGGTCTCCACACCGACACTCGCAGTTGCCCACGTGACCGCGGGAGAGAAGAAAGCGTGCCGGACTCGCTCAACTCGCTGGGGAGATCCTGAAAAAACGAAGACATCAATTGTGTTCATCTTCAAGAGGTCTATTGAATATATACAGTAGTAGATGTGTCTTTTTTGTCGGGTAGGGTACATGTTTCTCCGGTCGGACACAGAGCATGAGTGAGCCGTGAGCGGCGCGAGCAGCGAGAGCTGCTCGTCACGGCGCGACCGAGCAAAGGGACGGTAACGCAGGTCCGTCCGGGTGGATAGACATGACGTCGGACAGCCGCATGCGGATCTCAGGGGGGTCCAGGTATGGATCTGCAAGTCTTGGGATCGAAAATGGATCGGAACATGGATGTTTTTCCGTGATCCCTGTGAATCCCAAGCTCTGACGCAAGTTCTGGCCCCCACGGTGTTTGTCGAAATTCAAATCTGAGCCCTGTGTTTTCTCCTCTGCTGGTAGGATGTGGAAGTAGCCATCCACGTCATAGCCAGACTTCAACGGGACCTCGGCTTACTGTATCCAGCCAATCTCCGGCAGCATTCAATAACTGTCATGTGATATCATTGACAACTGTGCTATATCCTTGTGTGCTGCACAAGCGGTGGTTTGCATTCACTATACAGCAACATTTGCATTGACTACGCAGCCAAAAACATATATAGTGAAGTCAGTAACATGAAGAGTTTCCACCAGGATCCTGACCAGGGAGATTTCCGAGCCACCCATGAGCAAGTCTTCGCTCTGCGTCCTGCCAGCGACACAGTGGCTGAGGTCATGCTGTCGAGGTCCCAAAAACATTGAGCAGGAGAGTCAAGTTAGGGTGAAGAACTCTGGTTAGTACTTAGAAAGTGCTCGGGGGTCTTTCTTCCTATGCCTAGAACTCGACATTCATCACACGTGTTGAGCCATTTCAGGCAGCGGAGTCCCCAATGATTTTCTCTCGAAATTCATACAGGGGTCGATGCCAGGTACCATATAACTTACAACGAACAACTGGGTGTCTCATGGTGTCTCCCCTCTATTCATGAACCATTCAACCAACACCGGCAGGCCATGTTCGTGCTCTTTGTTCCTCTATGTTAGTCTATATGTTAATCTAAGTAAACCTGTGCCAACCTGGGGAGATCAGCGCCTTCCAGCATGCCATACCCAAAGCTCCAAGAAGAGCTGCCGGAAGGCCTCGCGAGAACGCAGCATCTCGTCGGGTTCATCGGAGTCTCCGAGTCTTTGGATGACAACCGTTTCAGGCTCGGGGGGTTAGTCATCAACGGTCAAGAACGATCAATTAAGAAGTTATTCATTTGGTTTACTAAAATTCCATCATCAGTCGTGGGTCCAAAGCTGTCTATGTGTTGATCATCACGGAGAACTGAGACCCCACTTCCCCTGCCGCCGATGTGTTGGAACTTCTTATTAGATCAGGTTGTGGCGGCGTTAGAGCTCCTAAAAGCAAACATGGATGATATCGCAGTTCCTGCAAGTAGGAGCATACCCAGAGATCCCAAGCATACATGACGTCTCAAACATGCACCACATTTGATTCCTGAACACCTACAATACAAGGACCCCTTACAGACCAAAAATAAGGCTTTCCTCCTTCTTTTCGGAAGCCATGCTGCCACCGGAAGCCATTCTTCCAAACCTCACCTCCGGATAGCTGATGCGACGGTCTCCGCAAGTGACCTGCCCCGTGGCCGGTGGCCCATCGTCCGATCCGCGTGGTGGTCGAGGGTAGCTTCTTGGCTTCAGCCAGGGCTGCGCCAGGGGCTTGTAAGTCTCTAGAGATCCATAAACGTATTATCTATAGTATATATATATATACAGTAATCATCCTGGAGTAGATAGAATCTACTTTCGTAGGGGGTGTTTTCTTTTTGAAAAAACTCAGGGTTTTTGACATCCTTTTCATTTTATGAAGACTGACCCTATAGATAGAATATGGTGATAAGATTCTTATCAACTCCTGCCATTCCGGTATTTGCTCCTTTGTTGTTTTCATGTTCTGTTCCTATGTGTATTATCTAAGCTTTCCTTTCCTTTGTTCTTTTCTTTGGAACGAACAGAAATAGAACGACCAGAGAAGGAAAAGGACAACAAAGGAAAAGGAAGAGAAACCCCCACAACCATATCCTATCTATGGGGTTTGGAAGGGCCGGTTTTGAGGAGTGAATTGTTTTTTGACAATTCGTCCATTCTATCTACTCCAGGATGATTGTATATAATTATGTGTTCATTAACATATGTATATCTGTGTATAGAATTATAATCAATTGTATACACATGTCTTTCTATTGACCTGTGATGTCGAATAGTGGTTTCCATTTTCATCCCACAGTGTCGACTCAAACCGATACACCCGCTTTGGAACACTGGAAATTTCCACCCACCCGCAAAACTGGTCTCATCGGGTCCTGTTCGCCTCAGGTAGCTCCAAAGAGACGGAATGGCTCCAGGAAGGGGAGCAAGACCTGTCGACCACCTGCGAGCGTCAGCAGGCGCTGCTCGCTGCACCGGGTGAGCGTCAGCAGGACAGCGAGCTGCACCGGGTGAGCATGCTGCGTTGCGGAGCGCACACCGCGAGCGGCATGCGATGCTGGACGGGTCAAACAACGGCGGAACGGGTTCAGGTGAGATCTTGAGAACTATATAGGGCAATCAAATTTTGTGCGTTCCCCAAGAACCCTGTGGATGAAAGGATATGAGTTGGCCGAAGGATGTTATGATCCTAGAGCCACAGGCATTTAGAGGAGGTTGAACACCTACATACACCTACCACCTTGTTGATCTTTGCCTGGTGAAATAGTGAAGCTGTATCTATTGACAAAATGACTCACCCAAACACCAAGACCAAGACTTCAAGCCTTCACACTGCCCGCCAAAACACCAAAAGAAAAGGAGGCATAGGGATTAATTATATATATAGTTACCATCGCCAAGGACTCGAAAATGGAGCTGTCCCTTTCAAAACTGACGGAAAGGACTGAGTCCTGGATTTTCCCTTTCTCGCGAGTCGAATCAAAGATTTGGTGCGACTCCATGTGATCGGACGAAATTATCCACCGCTGGGCCTGGGTGACTTTCCAACCAGGGGCCGTACCAAGCACGAGATGAAGTCTCCACCCTCTGTCTCTGCTCACTGAGCCTTCGTCGAGCCCAGTGAATCTTTGGAGCCTCTCCAGCAGAAGAACTCCCGAAAAAAAACACCCCTGTGCCATGCCTCGAGGAACGCACAGGTCGTCTTTTTGGCGTAAGAAAATGGGTTCACCAGGTGGTGGTTGTCTTTTGCCTGTCCATATAACCGCTAAAGTGAAACTTGGCATGTTCTTGTTCTTGTCCTGTCATCTGCCACGAAAACTAGCCAGAAACGGGCCTGGTCTCAAAAGCAGTGGCCCCGGAATCCCCAACCTCCTTCGGCTGTCATTACATTCCCTGCAATCTGAGATCTCAATATTATCCTGGCTTCAGTGGCTGTGCATAATATGGGATGTATTTCGAGTGCAGCCAGCGCCTGCAACCAGCGGAAGACTGAGGCCCTTTTCACACCTGCACACCCGAGAGAGTGGGCAGGTGATGGCCGGTGACAGGAGATCGGGGTAAAAAGGATGCATTTGCGCGGCGGTCCGCAGATTTGGGCAGCTGTATTCTGAGATCTGAGATGTCGAAAGGTCTTCGATATCAAAAGGAGTGTCTACTGGAAGCGTCTCAGTGCCAAATGCCCTCCAGGTCCAACAAAGCAGGATGCCTTCGAAATCATCTATATATATATAGTTCAAAAAATAGGAACCACAAGAAAAAAAAGGCTTATGTTCACTTGTTCGTCACATGTCCAGAGTCCGGATCAGTTTTGGTATCTTTAATTTCATGTGTTGCTTTTTCGCACCCATGTCATAAGGATGCGGATCGCTCTAGCCAGGCTAGCCAGGAGTCGACTTGACCGGATGGCGTGGTCAGACCGCACGTCCACCTCCAGGCATAGCTGACAAAGGCGTTCGGCGGCAGGTGGCCAGTGATCTGCGGCAGGTGTAAGGCCTCCACGCATGGAAGTGGACCCCAAAAGGGGTCTGGCTTTGGGGCAACCACTTGCAGTACTTGGGGAAGAACTTGGCACCCTTCATTGGACGCTCGAACATAAAGATGATTACCCTAACCATTATGCTATTCACGTAACAAAAAATGGAAATAGCAACCACCAGGCACCAACCGCCTGTGTTTGAGAAGCATTTTGAAGCTACCAACCACACCAACCCGGCGACGTGTCCTTTCTGCGACCCCGGCCTCATGAATGGTCAAGGCTAGAGTGCCCATGGAAGCCTCAGCCCGTGAGGAAAGACGCTTTTGCCATGTGGAACTGGCGATGCTCCGTGATGACCTCCCTTGAACAGAGCCCTTTTGCCCAAACACCAAAGAACGAGACCAACACCATGCATCCCGATTATCACACATGTTATCTCTTGTTAAACACATCCGGGACTCGTGTCAAAACTAAAACATCGAGCCCTATGACACATAAAACACATAAAGCAAAAAGTCACAAATCCCGGTCACATCTCCAAGGGACCGTCTCCTCAGCCCATCTGGGCAGTGCCAGTGCGGGTCCTCTAGGCACTCCGTCTCGGCCTCGCGGGCTCCGTCGCCGGATTGAGCAAGAAGCGAAACCATTCTGAGTGCTCCCTGCTTTTGTTATCTCTTGTTTTATGTGTTTTGCTTTTAGTGTTTTTTACGGGTCCGTGTTTTTTCGTTCTTCTGATAGTTTATGATCTTATGATATTCATGCAGTTCTAGTTTAAAGTTCACAGGACCAGGAAGCTGAATGGGTCAGGCGTTGCGACTCTGCACTGCAGATGTCAGCAGTTCTGCGGAGTCCCTGGTCCGCTTACCAATATTCACTGGTCAACAAACACGTCACCCAGACAGGCATAGGATCCCTAAATATGGGTGTGTCCTTTATCTAATAGGGAGGCCCCGAACCAATGGGTAGAGTGGTCTATTTCCCTTCTTCCAAATGAGTCGAACTGGTTTCCCTAGTTGAGCTACACACCGCCGATTGACGCACGGAGCCAAGAGTCCTTGCTCTCGCACTCCTCTCGCACTGCTCGAGATGGACAACCTGTAGAGTCCTTGCTTGACCTCAATTGACCCATCCAAGCCTTGCAAGCGCACTGACTCGCCGCAAGCTGCTTGAAGATCCCAAAGAAAGAGAAGGTAGTCGAAATGCGGACCTCCCAAGCCACAGATCGCCCAATCTCGGATGTTCCAAGACTTTCGCAAGGTTCATCAAATTTCAAAGTCTAGTCTCACACTGAATTTGAGGTCGTGACTTCTCGTAGTCCGTTGAAGTCAGTTGCAAAATTCAGGCATCTCTGTGTCAGGCGTCTCGCGTGGAGTCGGCACCGGATGGGTCGGAGCGTCAATGCGGTGCGCCTCCCGCTTGCCATTCGGGCCGGTCAGTGATCAATTGCCAGAGCGCGGCAGGTAGATCTGGGGCGCCATGAAGTCGGGGGCAGAAGGAACGTTCGAAACCGCGTTTTTACCGCGTGAAACCAAGGAAGGAAGACATTGATAGTGTGACATGGAAGAAGTAAAAGAACAGGTGATAGGTAGTGGTAAGCAATTCTTAGTGACCTCCTGTGCACTTGGAGTACTGAGTACAGCTATTCTTGGACTCAAAATGGTGAAAGGTGCAGTTGTATTGATACTTTGAGTATTGTTGTAGTCAAGAAAGACCAGATCGGTCTAGAGTTTTTGTTGGTGAATAGTTTTCGGAGGCAGCACCAATCTTGAAGAGTTCATCTTCTGAGTTGGGAAGACCGCTGTTCTCCTCCAACTCTCCTGGGTGCCATGTGTTACCCCTCCCAGACCCGGGTGACTTGGAAGCCGCTTCCCCTGCCTGCAAGACCAGCACGAGCAAGCTCTGCCTATCAGTGCGAGCGGGAGCCCCTTCCAGACCTCTGTGGCTTTGGATAGGTCCCAGCACCAAGAAAAAATGACTGATAGCCATTTAAAACGATCCGGTGATCCTTGACCCAGCTTTTGATTAGCTTTCCCCTTAGTGATACTGTATAGGAAGACTCGACCGTGATGAGAGTGCTGAGAAGCAGTGAACTGACGGACGTTCGCAGGCGCCTGCAGCACGCTTTGGAACGCCCCCAGTGAGACGGCCTCGGTGAAACGCCGTCTCCACCGTGTGTATGGCAGCGTGAGTCGTCGAGAGTCCATGTTGGGAGGGAAGCAAATGGAATCAGGATTTGATGGAAGCACCGTGAAAAAAACATCCAAACAGAGTGATAGAAAAATGAATAACAGAGTTTTCGGCTCTGAAGCGTTGGGACCAACGTTGGGACCTTTCCTGCGATTCCTGAGACCCCGGTCTCCAGAAGCCTCACGAGGAGCCGCAACTCGTCTGCCTGGCTGCCGCTTCGTGAGCTGGTGCGACAGATGTCGCATCAGAGCGGCATCAGACTCCATCAGACTCATCAGAGGGACATCCGAGGATAGTAGAGGCAGATGTCATCCACAAAAATAGGCTGATCTCCCCAGGTGGAGAGGAGTCGTTCGTTGCCACAGGCGGATTAGACGAACACAACCCACGAACACGGCCCCTTTCTGTGTTGGTTGATTAGAGAGAATACGCCCAGGTGAACAGTGGCGCCTGACTCCTTAAGTGATCCTCTTATACTGAGATGGGACATGATGGGGCAAAACTAACCTATCATGTGTGTATATTCATATGCCCTAGCCTTCAGTTCGACCATTAAAGAATGGGAACGACCTGGTTTTGTGGTGGAAAGTCCTTAGTAAGCCTTAGTAAACCAATGGTTGCTGGGCAAAGACCCTTGAAACCATGCTTGTTGGAATTTCAGGGTCTGCCTTCGACCAAGCCACCCATCCTGCTGCTTTCGCTGCCTCGCTCCTCGCCGTCCAGGCGGCTCAGACACTCCAGAAGACCTCGTGTGGAGGGAACGGCCGATGGTGCGACCCAAAGGCCCAAAGGCCGGACAAGAGGGCCTACAGAACATGGGGTCACATGGCGCAGCTCTTATGGAACGCCTCAGTTCGAGCGAGCGAGTTTTGAAGCTCTCTGTTGGCGGAACCAGACCTTGAAGCCCCTCACCTTCCTGACCTTGGCATGGTGGCTTAATGGGATGTCTATCCTCGTTGTGCACACAGCCACGGGTTTGGGGAATGGCTCATGAGACAACTTGGACTGGTATCTGTTGCTAAAGTATGCAAATGCCATTTGTTTCGAGACCCTTGAGTAGAATACAAGGGGAAGCATCACATGATCTTCATTGGCCTGAAAGATGATGCAAAATAGACACGCTGACAGAATAAGCCAAGCTTGGTTGAGGATGTGAAGACAAGCAGTTTCGCTGGCCCCAGCTCTTCGTCATTTCGAATTCCTCCGTGGAGCGCGCCCCACGCGCCCCAGCCTTCCGCCACTGGCAGGACCCAGCGTGCGAGAGCACGAAGACTCATCCAAAGAAGCAGCTGCCTCGCAGCGAGGTGTCTTCCGTGTACACGGAAGGGTGCCAAGGGTCCGTTGGACACAAAGAGGCCGGTTGATTCATGGCATGGAAAACATCCCTTTCCTCGCTCCTGTAAGGAAGCAGCATCTCTGCATCTGCCATCATCGGAGCAATGGTTGCGGAAAGGAATGCCAGGTCTTCCTGCGCTTTCAAACAAAAGGCACCCTGAGCCTCGAACCAACTGAACCTCGACTGTGCTCCTACCACCAGTGTGCTGCTAAGCAGGATCCCTATGGTTTACAAAGGACAATGTCATGCCTTAATCGCACCTGAGCCGATGGTTCCCTCGGACCGATCTACCTCCAACCGTGCATGCTAACAGTGCGGTGAAACAGTGAGGAGGTGCAACAGCTACGGTGCAACTACAGACCCCCCAACTCTTGGCTTTGAACCAATGCGGCTCCAACCACACACCCTTTTTTGGCTCCAAAAACACCTGGCGAACACATTGAAACCATTCAATCTCAGCTGAACACAGGCCACTCAAATGAGCTTTTCAGAAAGACTTCGGGGGCCTCAACAAATGTTACACGTCAATGTCTGAACCCTGAAAGTTCCCCAACCAGTGGTGTTCATCATTTGTGACTCCCATACAAACCTTTCGGTGGTGATCTCGAGCTCTCACACAGAGGTGTATATATATAGTATTGTAGATTCTGTGCAAGGATGAGCATTATCATTGATCATGATCTGAATCACAACATCTATATACATATTCGCGCAGTCATGGCAGGTTTGGCATCCTGGCTGGAGTTTTCGAGTGTGTTGTCTCATTGAAGCTTCTTGGGCATCCAGCTGTTCTACTGAGCCAAATGGGTTTGGCTCCAGAGATCATTCTACGTTTTACAGATCCTTCTTCCCAAGTTTGAGTCATAGCCATGTGGTAGCTCAGAGTCATACACATGCTCAATGAGGTGGTCCCTGGTGCTGGATGAAGTTTGCTACATAGTGCACACCTGATATACATATAATATGTGTATTGATATACTTCTCGTTGAGGCAGACCCATGATTGCTGTGCCAATCACAGAACAATGGAAGGCCCAAACCCATATTTGGCACAGACAACCACTATCTACTTGTGTATCTTGTCCTCCAAAGGATGAGGACAACCACTCGTGCCTCTGAGCTACAGCTTCTGGTCGCACCCGAAAACACCGCTGGTCCACCCTCCACCTCTCCTGTAGCACGCGCATCCGCCCTTCCGCGCTATCCCCCTGCGGCGAGGCCGGCGTGGCCCACAGCGGTGTGCCGGGCAGCTGCTCGGCGGCCTGGCGCAGCAGCGCCTGGAAAGCGCCGCTGGGCAAGGCGTTGCGCCGGGCCTCTGCAGCCATGAGGCGCTTCCAAAGCTCTTCGCCTGGAGATTTGAGATCTGTGGATTTCCAGGTGGGTTCTCTTCCAGGTGAACCCCACACCATCCCAAACAGTCTGGCAGGTTCCACCTAGGTTGACAAGCTGTGACTCGTGTTGACCGAGATGGCTCTTGCAACATCTATTGGCCCCACATTACAGTTGGAGGGTATGCGCACAGAAGACTTATTCAGGATCTTGGCCACAATTATTGGTGCTTGGATCAAACAGGTTTCCAGAAACCAATGGATTGTATCCTAGAAACAAAGGTTATATATAGCTGGAAAAAGCAAAGGAAAATTGAAGATGTTCCTCTGACCCCGTACTACAGTTCTTGTCAATTTCATTGCAAGCGGATGGCTGCTTCCTCCCCAACTCTCAAAGTCTTGATTGACGCTGTGGTAGTATTCTTAACCTAGTGATTACACTCCCTGAAACAAACATGGAAGTGGACAACCCCCTCTTTGTTGAGGAATATCGTATTCCAGGAGGCCGTTATCCACTTCCATGATTGTTGGAGGGAGGGACTCAGCTTCTGAAGGACCAGGATTTCACCCGCTGAAATAGGGCATGCTGTGATTTGAGGGACCGGCCGCCCGTGGGTTTGAAGAGGTTCGGAACGGCTCACATCAACTCCACCGGATTTGGAGCTCGAGCCCAGGCCCCACCCATCGCTCGCCCCCCACGTTGGGGGGGGCCCCACGCCTGCGACGAGCCTCACAGCATCCTCCAAGGGCCACTTGTTGGGCCCAGCGGGTAGCTCCGAGGGCACCTTGGTCGGCAGCCAATCCTTGTAGAGCGGCAAGAAGATTGCAGCAGGAGCCAAGGGAACCCGCCTGCGCGTAGCCAGATGGAGAAGACTGATAGGGGTGCTGCGGCAGTTTATGGGTGCTATTCTCATATCATTGGTTGCGTTAAAGGATTTTACCTCACAGAGTGTATAGTAGGCTGATCCCTGACTTTCATGTTACAGTAGCTGTTTCGCCAAACATGGGGATCCAACAATCACAGGCATGTTTCATGCTTGGAACCCATGCTACGAAAGACCATGCAATCTGTCTGGCTATGTCTCACCTGATCTTCCAAATCACCGAGCCTCACTTTGCTCCCAGAAATTGGCCCAGAATGCTTAAACTTGTCTCAGACTCACATCACTTCACCCACCCCCCCCGCCTCCAAAGGCGTGGAGCACCCCCACGCGGTCTCATGGCCTCCAAGCGCATCAAGGCCCTTCCGACCACTGAGCTCCAGGGCCGCTCCGGTGACACGTGCCGCAGCGTGGCCCACAGATGTCCACCGAAGTGGATCGCAGGAACTCCCTCCACGTACCAGCCGATGGGGAGCTGGATCTCTGCTTGAGCCGCCACCTAAAAAACAACGCCCAGAGGCTGCAGTGTGGTCCATGACTCCATGACCGACCGAGAGGCTGCTTGGAATCCATGAGACCAAAAACTGAAGTCCGTTACGAGATGAAGGACCTCCCGGAACCGGCCAGTCGGCCTTGTTTCCGGAGAAAGATGGAGGTTAAAAAGAAATGAGTGAGCTACGCTGCTACCAGGTCTCTCAACATCCGTTCTGAAATGAGGTGCTTGAGCTACAAGAGAAGCACCTGGTGGACCCCAAGCGGCCTGGCTGGTGGATCCAATCTGCACCAGTTTCCTTGGATCACAAGGCAGATCACCCCATTGGGTCGGAGCTGAGGAACTTATCTAACACGCCACATGAAACCACTTGACGTCTCAAAATGACCTGGGCATGTTTGACATCGAAAGCATTGGAAAGCTTTGACGGGCCATTCGCAGCCTTGACCGGAGCCTCCCAGAGGTCGACGCAGCCAAGGCGGTCTACGGATTGGTCTGGTATGACCATGCACTTCATCTGCATGTGTCCTTGTCACGTTTGTCCACTGACTAGTGTCTTTGTCAGGGACATGTGTGTAGCACAGTATGGAGAAACGAGTCGGGGACCCCGAGTCTCGTGTAGAGGAAGTACAGGTCCCCAACCTATTGTTTCCTGGTCCCCTTCCCTTAAAACCTCACATCCGTGTATCTCAAACTATAGGCAACCTCCATCGATCAATTGATTAGGACGGCCACCTAAAGGATGGTTAGGGGCACATCAATCGCGGTTCTAAAGCATCAATGAAGGTTTTTCCCTACTCACTCATCCATATTGACATGTGAAAATGTTACGGTTTACTGTTTTACATGCATGATCATGCATGTGGCTGCTCAACAAATTCCAAGAAGAAGTGACTCGCATGTGGCCACTCGTCAACCGTCCCCAGATTGCCGGGTCAAAACCTACCTCGGCCCCTCAGAATCATGCTGAGCCCAGGCTTCAGGTCCACTCTGTGTGCATCACCACGCAGCAGCTGGGCGTCTCTCTTCCGGGTCTCTTCGCCTTCGGGGCCGCCATTCACCACCAGGCGGCCCGGCAATGGAAGCGCGGTGTCCTGAGCCGGGGCGAGGTTTGAAGAGATGGACGCCATGGATAAAAAGAATATGGTTGAATTTCTACTTATAGATCAAACGATTTTCTGGTGAATATTCTGGTTTGAAAGAAAGTACCTGCTTGCAAGGTTCACTGCATGTCTCGGTACTGCGCAGAACCGGTCTCTGGACCACTTTATTTTGTCGCCCTGATCTTTTTCTTGTAACCCTGTCGTTCTCTTCTTGTCCTCCTGTTGTTATCCTCTTCACCTCTTCTTGTCCTCTTATCCTCCTGTTGTCCCTTGGTTGACACCAGCTTGGCCCTGCCTGCAAGCAGCCACAGAAGCCAATGTTGCACTGTCATCCTGTTGTCTTCTTTTTGCCGGGTTCTCTCGTAGGAAAGAAGAAGCTGGCCACTGCGTCAGGCCGCGCATGCGCCCTCTTGTCTGGATGCCATCTTTTTTAATCTAGTCATTGGCCGCGGCCAGCTTATCTGTGGTCCCAACTCATTTTCCCCGAAGTTCCCAATCTGTGCCGACGGCCCAAGCGGTCCAAAACGGGTAGCTCAGTCTGGACACACACAGACCCAAGCTGTATATATAGAGAGCTTTAGCTTGGTCTGGGCATACACGGGCCTGAACACTACGGGAGCGTCAGCGCATTTGCGCGCACGGGGCTGAACACATGTCAACTGAAATAAATGTGCGAACACATGCCAGAAGATATGCCAGGATGGACGTCAGAAGATATGCCAGTTAGGGTGTCACAAGAGAAGCCAGATATAGTGTCAGAAGATAAGCCAGCTAGAGTGCCAGAAAGGATGTCAGAAGATAAGCCAGCTAGAATACCACCAGAAGATTTGCCAAACAGGGTCCCAAAAGATATGCTAGAAAGGCAAACAAACCATATGTCAGAACATGTCGGAACACATGGCAGAAAACATGCCAGGACACATATCAGAACTGAAGGCGGACCATATGTCACAACACATGTCAGGGCACATGACAGCTTGGTGCGAGAGCACATGTCAGAGAAGCACATGCCAGAAGATAGTCAGAACACATGTCAGACTTCACGGCAGGACATATGTCAGGGCACAAACCAACAAGGGCATCGGAACACATTCTAGAACATTCCCCAGCCTTTATGATAGATATAAACCGGGTCAAACAAGTGTGGATGCACGTGTCAGGCAGAGTTGTCAGGATAGTCTGTCAATACATGTGCCCAGCCTTCTGCCAAATCGCCTCTCAAATTGGTGATCCCTCGAAGTCAAGCAACTTTTCTTATCATTGAAATCATATTACAATGTATACTAACTTAGATCATCGATCATTACTCAATGTACCATTATCATGATGATATGATGAATTAAACAATATAAACATATATATATGTATCATATTATATCATGGATGTGTTTCGCACGTGAGAAAAACCTTCCTTACTTGCTCCGGAGCTGAGTCTCTTCCGGACACGCGATGCGGATCCAGCGGAAGCCGTCGAAGGCGCCGCGCAAGGGCGCCGAACGAAAGGTGCTGCTCCCTGCGCAGACCCGACGCTGTGGGGATGGCTAGAGGCTTGCAACTGGAGACCCTGTAGATCAATGGAACAAGTACCAAGGTCCAGGGAATTCATGGGTGCTTTCGGCGACATGTTACACATCTTCTTACCCACCCAAGCCAAAACTATGAAAGTTAGTTGGATGAGCAGCCCATCCTCTACACCATCCAACACCTTCAACCCCCGTTTGGCACTCATTGCGCCCAGGCTTGTTTCTGGTATGTTTCCGTCCTGGAACCCCTTGGAAGGCACAACAGGATTGCTTTGTTGAGTGCAACTGCTCAGGATCACCTGAAAAGGTGACTATGATCACATTGACTCACATTGACTGACTGCTTTGAATGGGAGACCACCAAGTATTTTGGACCAAAGTTTGGAGCAAAAGGAACAAAGCATCAAGCCATAAAAGACAAGCCTGTTGCCACCATCCCATCCCAGCCCCCCACCTTACCTTGTTCCATTTCGAGATAGAAGAGTGGTAACTCTTTGCTCTTCGCTCGAGGTAGAAGACCTGCTCGGTGGGCTCGTGGACTCCACTCCTCGGAACGTCCTCCTGCGCCGAAGGCACCGAGGTCCTCCTCGTTGGCCAAGTGGGCAACGAAGTCACCCGAGAGGATCACCTACGGTGTGAAGGAGGCCTTCTGTGGAGGAACTGAGGTGGAAGTGAAGCTTGAGAGAGGCAAGAGATCCCGAAGACCACCAACGCATGGGAATCACAGTGGAGTTCGCCCACAAAATGTCTCTGATAGATCTAGGCCTGAATCAAATGAGAGCGTCTCCCACCATGGCGTTTCTCTGCTCCAAGTGGTTACCCTATGATACCCTATGGCCCCATGACCTCCAAAAGGAAGACTCAGGTCACACGATATATGCCTCGACCAGCCTCTCAGAGTTCGACTCCCCAATACGCGGAAATGGGGTGAATCCGGATGAATCCAGACAAATCCTGCCAACCCCAGGAACGATCTGCTTCACATGTTGGAAGAATCGCCTGGAAAAAAATGTCCAGCAACTCACACTCACTCGCGAACAGTCCGACGGTTCGCCCCTCAAAGCCCTTCCACAAAGTGGGGTGCCCGAAGGTAAACAGGTGTACAGATCGAAAATATCAATGTGAGAAGACCATGACCTATGTACACAAGAGACACAGGAGACCCGTCACTCACTGTGAATTATGAATTATGAATTAGGCCCGCCGCTCAGTTGTCAAATGAAATATGGTCAAGTGATTGTCCGTTGCGAAGGCATTTTTTTGATGCGCTGGTATAATCCTCCTCTATTTTTAAACGGAATGTCTTCATATGGTGATTGAATCACGGATTCTTTTGTCACAAGCGGCATTTGAATGCGGGCATGATGAGGATAACTTTGTGTTGGCATTGACGAATAGTCTCTCAGAATCGACAGGAATTGATCTACGTTAGGTAGGACAGGCCACGAAGCCACACCCCCAACCAGGCTTTTATGGAAACCTAGACGTACCAGCGAAGAAGCTCCAGTTTTCTTATACTTAGGAATCAAGGATGTGGGCAAAGTATTGTCTAAATATCTCACAATTGCTCGTAGCGTATTCGCTTGATTCCAAAGGCTTTTTGCATCTTCTTTTTGAATGGCAACCTCTGGTGAATCAAAGGCATACGGTGTCGGAAGACGATCGGTTTCATTGTAAATCCAAACAGGAAGCGCCACTCCGGTATACAGCATAAAACTTATAGCCAGCTCATACCATGTAATGCCCCAATCATCTTTAAGTGGCGGAAGGTCAGGCGGATGCCATTTGAGTTGACCAAAGAAACACCATACACGAAAAGCAGCAGAAGCACCAGCAGGACAAGCTTGAGCAATCACCGGGGCCAAAGGACTGTCAAATTTCCAAAAAAACTTCCCCTACTTGCCAAGTTTGCAAATGAAGCTGATATTGAGAAAGGGCGTCCAATGTATTGTGCGCGTGATGGGCAGCTTCTTCTTTCTCTTTTTCTTTTGTCAACTGACTGTGCAATGCGTTGAGGTCTGCCAAGTATGCATAATTGCTGTTGCTGACAGTGTTCGAAAATCATGTCTGAGGCATGCAAGAGTGGTGCAAGATCTCTTTTATTAACCATCTTGGCAGTTTCATCTGCAACCGTATTACCCAAGATAGTATACAGATCGGCGACCCCAGAAGCCTCATCGGGACTACGGTGGGATTTCACTTTGAAGACTTGATGCAACGTAGGATTCCACCATTTCTGTAGCACCGAAACAAGGTCAGCATGGGCTAGCTGAAAAAGTTTAGGTGTTAATGTCCCATCTGAGATCGCCTCAAGGGTTTTCTGAACAAAACTGGAGTCCGTATGGATAGAGAGAAATTCTTCCGGCAAATGCTGTGCAAAATATTGAACCAGCCAGCTAACGGACTCAAGTTCTCCCCTATTAATGGATTGCAGTCCACACGTATGTGAGGTTTGCGAGACAACAAAATGATCAATGGACGGGTCAACTGGATCATGGGAGACATGTTGGACAACCGCCCAGGCTGCACGACAACAGTTTTGATATCTGGGACGATCACATGTTCCGTCAGTATAGAACACATAGTGGTCTGCTGGACGGATATCAGGCACGCCCAGAATAGGCCCTACTCGGCACCATTTTAGCCGGTTATACACAATTTGTTGAGGGTGGATAGTAGCTAAAGGCAGATAGTAGCTAATGTCCAGCAACTCAAAACTGACATCTGCAGACATCCCGTTGGTTCGGAACAAATCAGCAGCCCTGAGCAGTTTCGGGCAGACAACAATTGACAAAGACCAAAGACCTCGTCCAAAAGAGGGCCCTGTCCAAGAAGGCACTGTCCACGCAGCAAACATAAACCATGCTGGAAAAAAACACACAACAAACACACTCGGAAAAGAAAGAAAGACAGACAGACAGAAAGAAAGAAAGAAAGGAAGAAGTAGTGTACGTACGACTTGGTTGTGGCAGCCCTGGAGAAACGTCCCATGTAAGTCCAGGGTCCAAAGTTCCAAGCTCTAAGAGGCAATGATGTGACCGTGGAGTGCCAATCGATGTAATGGCTGGTCGTTTGTTCTAGCTACAACGGGACCAAGTGGACAAGTCAAGTCAAAACTTGCAGTTACAGGTGGATGAGCGACGACATGGCACGACGAGCCGTACGCCCCTGCTCTGAATAGACTTGAAGATCAAATCCAAAGATTCCCTCTGAGTCGAAGGTGTAATTACACACACTGGTGTCCATCTTTTTGGAACATGTGTTAACATTCGAAGAAAATCATCCTGTGGAGGTCGGTCTTTCTTCTTTCGACCGCCAGATCCATCGGATCATTCACCTCTTTCAGCTGCAGGTGATAGTCTGCCCTCATGGGTGGCTCAGGGTCCTCGTACGGGGAGGCAAGAGGCTGGTTCCGCACTGGTGCAAGACATGATGGAACGATGCCAGGTAGCACGTGGCACCAGTTGAGATACTACAGCATCGCGCGTGTGGAGGCGGCACCTATATTCTAGATTCTAGATGTACTGCATTGTGAATACAACTCATATGTAAACATGACTTGGAGACCCACATTCAATGACACAGGTTTGTCTTGAGATGCGGGGTCTCAATCACTGGTGTTCAGTATGTTCAGTCTATGTCCTGTTTATGTCCAAGCCACGTGGATATGTTGAACAAGATGCTGAAGAGGAGAACCGCCATGTGTTCCCATAGTGTTCCCATAGTGTTCCCCTGAAAACAAAAGAACATGGGTCCTTCAGTGAGAAACCCTGTGACCCCTCAACCCTCCATCCACTCTCGTTCCGTCCTTAGGCTTCTTCTTCTCCACTAACCAGCTCAGCATGCCAGGCCCATTGGGCAGCTGCAGCTCCACCAGGGCTTTCAGCTGCGCTAAGGGCTTTCCTTCTCGCTCCAAGCTTCCGGACAGCTCAAGCTTGCAGGGCTGCAGGGTGCGCAGCCGCAGCTCGTTGGTCTCTTCGGGGCTCAAGGCTTCCAAGAGACCTGACCGATGCCCAGCCGGGATGGACTGGATGGACTCACCAAGACAGGTCGGTGGCCGGTGGGAAGGAACGTGGGAAGTGAGCTACCATCCACCGGTCCAAACCGTCCTACTGGACCGGACCTCGGGCGGAATCCAAGGTCCCCAGGTGGGGATGGTGAGGGAGATGTGGTGCACACATCCTAAGGGCTGGGGATCATGACTTGCAACCAGTGGCCTGAACCGGATGATCACTTACCCGGATGATCCTGAGACGAAAACCCTTGAGACTTTCATGCACCTGCAGAGGCATGCTTCCAGCTTGACCCCTATCGACAAAGGCATGCTGTATGTTTCAAGGTCGGCAGGAGTACACTCCAGATGGAAGCTGAGAACTGTTTTGGATTGTTTTGGCATTCAGATCACCCAAAATACATCCCCAACACCAAAGTCATCCAAAGTCCAGTCAGACCGATTCCCATTCGCTCACTGGTCACAGATCTGGATTGGCCAACACACAGCCCCGGGTCTCGAACCTTTCAGGTCTACCAGGATAGAGAATGATATTGGATTCCATGCAAATCGATCCAAGCATCGAATCTACCTGGTCTATTTCCATGATCTGTTGTTCCTTGATACTTAGGATCTTCCGCAACAAAATCTTCTGCCTTTTCATCGATCCACTAGACCAGGCAGTGAAGCTCCGCTCACCGAAGATCTCCGACCATCCGCCGCATCCGTCCTTCTGACCACCAATGACCCGCACCCTCCCCGGTCCCCGGTCGGATCGTATGCGGGTCGGATCGTCTCCCGGGTCTCGCGCGCTGTCCGGCTGGCCGCCTTGCAAGGGACACTGCGTCTCAGAAAGCCGCAGGTCGGCGGCCGGATGTCGGATCCACACCTGGAAGGAGCAATGAGCATCGGGTGAAAGCGGTGACTCCTCACCATCGCTGGTTCCGAACTGGGGGGATGAGGCAGTTGAGATTTGAAACCTCTTAGTGAACAATAAGTGTTGGAAGCCAAAGGAAACCCTATCGATTGCGTCGTCTCCATCACATCCTTGTTCGCCATCTCTAAGAGTTTCCGGTCCCCACCACATTCCGATGGCAACCATGGGAAACACCCAAAGAACATCTAAGAAGACGCTCCGGACCGAACTTAGAACAAAGAAGCCAATCACCCTGACCGTCCCATCACTTGGATGGCCAAGTGATGCGTGTACAATCTTATAAGCAGTCAACCGCTCAACCAACCAGGGTAGTTCCGGGTAGCTCGCCCCCTGTTCACATCGGACCTTCCAGTTCCATCCCGACGTCCCCCACCCCTTTTCCCCCCACGCGTTCCGCCGCCCGGGTTCCGCCCGGTTCCGCCGCCCGGTTCACTCCGACTGGGGCGCCTCAAAGGTGCAGTGGCCATCCTGGAGCGCCTCCACGGCCAGCGCAGGCTCCAAGGCCGGCGAGCTCCAGGCGAAGTCGAAGCGCACCTCGGGCCCAAAAGGAAGGACAGACAGGCAGCCGAACAGCACCGGTACTGGGGAGGTACAGGTCTAGTCCTGAACAGCGAGAGTGGATGTGTTTGAAAGGCTGGTCAGTGATGTGATGCAGTGAAGAACCTGAGTTGGTGTGCAAAGTCAGGATGAAGGTTCTGGCGGTCCAAGTTGATTGACTCCCGCTGGAACAGCTTGCAGCTTAGGATATCAGTCAAGATCCCATACGACGTGGAATTTTGGTGAGTCAAAGCTGAGGTTTTGTTTCGGCACCCCACGCACATCCCGAACTGCCTCCAACCATTCCTTGTTTTGACATACGCTTGCTTGGATCATGTTCTCATCCTGTAATCCAGCTTCATGGATCATCAAGAGATGTTCGTGTTGAATCAGGTGGTAGGTGCAAGACCGATGTCTCTGCGGAGGAAATCCAGATGAAATCCATGCCAGAACTGCCAAGAACGGTGGTCTGGTCGTGACACATACTAACAGACTCTATCGGAGTCTAAAGACAAGCCAAACAAGAACTGTGGCTGTGTAGAGTTGAAACTGGCTATGTTTGACATCATTTGTGTATGTCGAGGGCAAAGGCTTTTAATTTGGAATCCAATCATCAAAGCATGCTGAAACCTCACTACTTATAAGGTACCATCCAGGATCCAATGTATTCTACACAGCCAAGGCCACAGCAAACTTGCCATCCTCACGTCCTCGCCCCCTCGCCACGCTCCGCTCATCGCTTCGATTCCAAAGAAGCACCTCGGCATCCGGCCCCTTGGAAGCACCAGCAGCACTCGCCGGCAACAAGAGTGTCTCGGGCACTGGCTTCAGGGGGCTTTCCACCCACCCACAGCAGCCGGCTACCTGGAGGCGGGATGCGGAGACGGAGCTGGAGGGAATCCCGAGTAACCATATGCCTAGGTTTCGTGCCCCCAAGCACTTTCCACTGCAAATTCCCAGCAAGGAACAATCCGAAAGGGACTTTAGACGTCTGAAGCTTTGTCATCGCCGTTGTTGATTCGGTGACACAGAGATATTCCAACATTAGGATACGTTCACTCAAGTTCACTCGAAACATTTACATTCAACAATGATCAAGCTCTCAGCAGTTACACATGAATGACAGTGCAAACCCTAAACCGATAATCACCTTAGAGAGAGAGAGAGAGAGCAGAGAGAGAGAGAGAGAGAGAGATAGTTGCTTGGTGGGAGGTGAAGAAGCCGTCCTGGCATCCACACTAACATAAAACCTCATGGCTCATGGATTTACTGGGCCACCGGGATCTACTGGGCCACCGAAACCGGTGGACCCACCATGTCCTCGGTGAAAAACAGGTGCCACGGAACGCGTGGCGCGCGGCGCAAGCGCGGCGCGCGTGACGCGGAACCCGCGCGCGCCTGCATCTTGGGCTTCCCAGGAAAGAGGCAGAGCCGCGCAAAGAGCTGTGGCGCCTTGGTGGCCAATCCACCGGCAGAGCCTGGAGCGGGCAGCACTTGCCCTTGCAAACACCTGGCGGCCAGGCCTCGTAAGGCCTCCGCTTGTAAAAGCAACGACTGGAGCTTCACCTGAAAGATCACTGAGCCAGGTGGTGGTGGCGCTGGTTTCACTTCTCGCATCAGACCGCTAGGTGCTTCCTCTGGATCAGTCCCACTCACCGTCGCGACCCCTGGGCGGCACACCACCAGCCGCCCGGCAAAGGAGCTGTTCCACGGGAGGGGACTCCGGTGCACCTCCGCTGGCCGACGGCGGTAGTGGACCACGAGCTCGAGGCTGCCTTCCACCGCCTCAGCGGGCGGCTTCTTTGCCTTCGGCTCCACCGTGCGAACCTCAAAGCTCAAGGTCCACTTCTTCTGAGAGCCCAGCACGGCCTGTTCGCGGCCACGGCGAGCAACCCAAGTTTGCATGTTTGATTTCGGAGCTCGTTGAGCTCGCTACATGACAGTTCTGGAGGTGTCCCGGGGAGTCAGCGAATTGAGTTGCATGGCTGTAAATCCACGAGTTCTCCAAAAGGCCAGCTTCTTTTTTGTCCTTTGGACATCCAGAAGGGCTGGCTCATCGCCAACTCTTGTTCACAGAGTTGGCAGAGGCTTTGAGTTCGAAATGGATTTACAATGATTTACAGGCTTGAACTAACCCCCCTAGTCTCCATCCACCGCGCCTCAGGCCGTGGCTTCGGCGGAAACGCCGCGCGCAGGAAGTCGCGGAGCTCCGCCGCGGGGAGCACCGCCACGCTCAGGGGCCGCCGGAGCTCATGCTTGGCCACAGCAATCCAAGCCTCAGTGAGGCGCGCGGATGGCGTAGTCGCGCAGCGAGTTGGGGCATTCCAAGCCAGGTGAGGAGGGTGAGGGTTGAAGAGTCTTGAGATGTTTTTAGGGCGGGTGAAGAGGGTCGGAAGCGGGCAATTTCATGTATACGGTATGCCGGGAATGCGACGGGAATGATGTTGCTTTCGATTTTATAATGGCTTGTGGAGTGGAGCGTTCAGTGGTTTGGTTGAGTTTGCTTCACATTCACAATGTGGAAGTGTAGATGGCATGTTGTGTGTTGAATCGCAAACGGTTGATCCCACCAGGCTTGTGGCACGATGTCCGAAATCCTCATCAGGCGTCTCAACGCACAAGGAGCAACTTCCCTCAGCCTGTGATACCCATGTCGTACTTCACAGGCCTGAACCACCCAAATCATCCAAAGGCCTGAACCACTCCCGCCTGGATGGTCACGGCATGCTCGCGATGTTCAAAGAGCTGCTCCAGGCCATCGACGGCCGTGAGCCCGAAGACATGGGTGGCTTGGAAGTCCACGCCCTCCGCCACTGGCACGTCAGCCACACAGGCAGTGCCATGGCAGAAGTAGCGAAGAAAGACTTCGGACGCCTGTCGACGATGGGAGCGACGACGTCATGGCCCATCGGCCGTGGGAGCGAGGACGAGAGCGTGGGGTGTTGACGAGATGGCCCATCCAACCCCAGCAGACTAGAGAAACCCGAAGATGGCCAAAAATAGTTAAAATACTTCTGGGCACCTGTTAGGGTCTCCACACAGCCTATTGGAGGGTCCTGGTAGATGATAAATGATCCGGCCTTGCTGAAGCCCTCCACGGACTTGATGCTCACCTCCAAGACATGTTCCACTGCCTGAGCTTAATGAACAAAACTGGGGTAAGACGTTGCTTCGTCCACAAGTCTCTGGCGTCTCTGGTGCAAAGGCTTTTGCTCAAAACTCAGGCTGCTAAGGGCAAGGCTCATAAAGGATGCTGCCACGGTTCTTTGTCCAAACTGCCACGGTTCCTTCGATCCTCCCGTTCGACACCCCCCGGCACCCGCAGACCGCGCACCGCGGTCCGCCACCGCGAGCCACTGAGGGCCCTGCTTTGGCACGTTCGGTGCAGACCAGCAACGTCTCTGAACCTGAACGACGCCGGTCCCGCCGGTCCCGCCGAACGGAGACCATCACCGGTCACTGCATCTGAGGGGCGAAGTGGGGGATCTGCATCTGCCTTGCCTGGAGTGACCCCGGCAATCACCTGGCCCGGCTTGGTGTTTAAAAAAAAAACACCATGCTGCTGTGATGATGACTGTCAAAAGGAATCCAATCCAGTCGTGTCGTTCCAACAAGACCTTGCTGGAGCACTAAGAAGCTCACATCCTCTGGTGTAGGAGGTGGATATTTCGCGGATGCCTGCCACGTTGCGCAAACCAGTCCGAACGTCTGCCGAAACAGCTGGGGATGGGATGGAGTAACAAGGTAGTGTAGTGGCTTGAGGAGTGCTATGGTTCTTTTTCAGGCCCCAGCCACATGTTGAACACAGCTGGACAAATCAAAGCTGCTTCGACATGGCCTATTGCTTTTCTAGGTCTCAGCCAAATTACTTTTATCCCACGATGCTCTTTACTAGATTGGTCACAGCTTGTGGTTTTGTCGCTTGCTCACATGAACTGCCCTCCGCAGCTTGCCTTGGCCTCTCTTTTCCCTTTCCGCTGATGTTTTCGTCTTCGTCTTCATCTTCTTCCCCACACAGGCCAACACGAGCAGCAAGCACGTGACCGAACGAGCAACGACCGACGTGTTCGACTGAGACGAAGATGAGATCACGAGATCGATCACGTGCGATGTGATCCAAACTGAATGGAGATGGCCACACGTGGCTCTGAATACCATATTTATGAATTCAGAGTGGCCCGTTGCCTCGTCCGCCAGAGTACTAAACATCTTGAATACCCAAAACCTGATCTTTCTATATCGCTCCACCTGCCACTCCTAGTGGAGACGTTTGATAAGGCCGCGGATGGAGAGTTCTGCCCAGTGGACCGCGAGGGTAGTATCAGGAGCCTGTTGGGAGTCGTCATGGAGATCGACTACTGTTGATTACTGCTGGGTGGTCATATTCCTCTATCTGTTGCACTAAGTACCCATGCCCTCGTAACTCCTTTCTCACTCTCCTGTTCCACCCTTCTGTGATGCCGGAACATCTTCTTCACCCTTCAGCTCTGGCTTCCAAAAGAACCACCGAACTCAAGTTCGCCCTCCCTCCCTGCGCCTTAGAGATCAACTGTAGCATTTGCTCCGCATCCTGTTGGCGCTTCGCTCCGATGCGATGGTTTTGAGGCACAACGACCGGCCGATCCGACCGGTCGACCCCGGTGGATCCGAGTCGACCCGGTGGGGAGGCGGCGAGCGAGCTCGGCGAGCTCGGTGTGTGGAGGGGTGGGGAAGGCGGCTTTGGGACGCAGCTGGCCCAAACCCGGTGGTCTGGTCCGGGAATGGTTCCTCCGATTCAAGGAATGGCATGTGCTAGCAAGAATCGCGCAAATGATTTAAAGCAAGCTATCTCTCAACTGCAAGTTGTATGACCAATATCGGAGAATAGTCCTTCCTGTCTGGAGGGTGCATGTTTAAAATAACTGCACCGCCTTGCACCCAGAAGTAAACACTTCGTGAAGAACAGGGACCCTAACCACCACATCAGCCGACACTCGCCACTGAAAAGAGGTCAAGCTTTTTTTATACCCTACCACATCTACTGCCGGAAACCTTCCTGCGGTTTCCCCATCCAAATGTGGCGGTCGGCCCAGGGCCTTCTCGGACATGCGGCTTTTCAACAAGCTGCGTGCCCGTGAGGAGGCCTGGGATTGGTCAAATTTCAGCTGTTGAAGGCAAGTGGGATGAGGAGATGTCCAGATTGTTGATGAAGAGTTCCAGCCCACCACCTCTGACACTTAGAACCATAGAAGTGCATCCCCTTGGAAGGACATCATTGATCAAGGGCCATCAATTCTGACAAAAAAAGAAACACAAACAGAAAAGCCAAGAGCCACAAAGAAGCGCTCGGAGTACGCCAGCGCACCATGAGAGATTGGTTTTCTCGTACAGTATCATCTGCAAACAAACTTGACTTGAGCCCCCTTCCCAACTGAGGAATATGGTGGCCATTCAAACAATGAAGACCCAGCAAGACCTCGGTAAAGAGTCCCAGTTGGAAGAAGGGTGGGGGATACACAGAAGCTGTGGGTCAAACTCCAGGCACCCTGCAGTTCACACTCCAAAATAGCTCGGCACCTGAGGATATTCGTCCAAAACCAGCTCTGGATGGGTTGTACCCTGATACCAATCGCCAGGCAAAGTGTCACCAAACAAAAGACCCTCCCATCCCCTTCCCTATCTGCATCTCAGTGACTACCCAGCTTGGCAGTCGTCCAGCGGTTCCCGCCACCTAGGCTTCAGGCGCGGGGCAAGCGGAAGAAGACCTCTCTGTTCGAAGGAGAAAGATGCATTTGTGTGCTGTGTTGAATACTTGAAGCCAAACATCGGAATTCCAAGGATGCTATGCGAGTTCTTCTGCATGTTCACGAGCCAAATGGCTGGGTTCACCTGAGTTACGAGCAGATCTTTGCTGGGGGATTTTGGAATATTGGAGGTGGCAGGTTCCGTTGAAAACCCTCCTGAAGACCAGTCCATGGACTGATCAGATTGGCCGTGACCCCTTGGCACCCCTTTTTTACCCACAAAATCGTTACCAACCAACCAGTGGTGTTAAACGCTTTTGGCTCCAAGCTTTTAGAACATTCCATCTGTTGGTGCACCAACCAGTCGTTTCTCAAGGTCCGTCATGTCCCTCCGCCCACGTGGACATCCGCCTCCGCATCTTTCAGCAGCTCTGCGCGCAGGTCAGGGCCTGGACGGACGATCTGAGCACCTGAGGGCTTCGATTCCGTCAGCCGAAGCGGTGGCTCGATTCTAGCTACGAAGCTGCATGAGGACGTGTCACGTCTTGTTGGACGAAGATATTTGGTCTGGGTTGAAGGACCAGAATCCGAAATAGCAGGTGCGTGGTCATCAAAATGCAGGGCTTGGCCAGCAGGTTGATGAAAATGCACACAAGCAGCTGTGAACATCCGAAGGTGCTATCTCCAACGCCAGGTGAACTGCTTTCTGACTGAGTAAAGGCGGCTACTGGATTCGAGAGAAACACTAGCCTTCGGAACAGAACACTGCTCTAGGGTGTAACCCCTGCTTCTTGATCCCCTACAGCATGACTCCAAAGTCTTTCCATCAATCAAACTCTTGACATCTCTTGACTCCAACAATTCCTTTGCTCAAAACTCATTTCGACATGTGAAGGCATTGTTTTCATTGTCTTCTGATGTCCACCCTGGGTCCACCCTCCATCACCGCTATCTCAGCGCTTTCTTGCACCTTCGGCCACAACACTGGCCGCAGATGGCGTGGTGGCCAAGAAGATGTCGCAAGCGCCCCGGCTGAGGCCCTCCTCAGGCAAGCCCTCAGGGTACCTCGACGTAGAGACTCTGGAGGAGTTGGTCTGGCTTGAAAACACGCAAGAGGCGCGGCATTCCGTGAGGAGAGATTCCACAGGTGAAAACATGGTGTTGGAATCGAGATGTGTTTGTTCTTCTCAGATATGAAGGGTACCATCACAAATTTGACCAGCCAGAACGAAGGTCGTCAACAAGGGGGTTGGCTGTTGCTGGACTTGTCCTAACAACGGGATTCGAGTTCGGTTATATTGTGTAGAATAGTGCTTGTGCACGTGCAGCGCACATATAAATATAGTTATAATACTATATATATATTTATATATGTATATGTGTGTGTACTACTCAGAATGACATACTCCTGATCTGATAAAGACGCGACGCTGACTGTGAGCAGCTTCCCATCGCCCAACTTTAGGATCTTTAGACACCACTCCTGGGTGGTTTCTTGGCACAAGTCATCTGCGCTATGCATCCCAGGGACATGAGCTGAATCCAGGTTTGTGACGTTGCCTGCCAAAGGCAGATGGTTTGTGACGATACCAAACAAAACCAGAGTCTCCTGATCTAGATTCATGATGATTCAGAAAGGCTTCAAGTTCATGATGCATGTATTGCACTGTTACAATTACATGTCTAGAACTTCCAGAAAAAGGAGCGAAGTAGCACGCATGCAAGCTCAGGGCTCGAAGTCTTCGACAAAGGGGAGGAATCTGTCCGCTGCTTCAAATATAAGTCAGGACCTGGGTCCAACGTGCGTTGAGCACACCCTTTTCACCTCCAGCCTCCGAACGTCAAGTCTCCAAACCTCCAAGAAAAAGAAACACACCGAAATACGAAAAAAAAAAAAACGGCGTAGTCGCGCCCGGTCGATGCCAGCCAGTTGGTACAAACGGCTCACAAAGTCAGACCTTGGTCTGCCGACGTGGAGACCCCGGACACCAGGTCACGAAGCAGCACTCAGCATTGGGTGAGTTTGTACGTCTGCTTCGACGTAGAAGATGTGAGAAGAGGCTAACACACATGGGTAGGCACACGAATTAGATCGGAAAATCCCTGACCTTGGTCAACTTCAACTCCTAAGACCTTGGCCAAAAAGTACCCCCCTTAGTTCCCCCATCCGGGCATGGCCCGCATGGCTCAAAAAGCCGGGCAGTGCAAACTCACTGGTGAAAGGACACCCATCGATGACCCCACTGAAAACTAACATGGACCCTCAAAACCGCAGTCTTTCAGGGTGCCATGCTCAGGGCCCTGGGTCCTATTCTCAGCCAGACGACAAGAATGCCAAGACCCAAACCATCTTGGTGGGGAGATGTACAAATGGGTGTGGAGGGAGATCCCCAACCAATTTGTTTTACTGGATGAATCTAAAACCCTGGGCTGCATCCACCGTCTCTTTTGTCGCCCCACGACTTCAATCGTCCGACTGCTGTGCACAGTCAGAATTCCCTGCGTCGATCTGAAGATTAACCCTCAGAACGTTGAAAGCATCCGGCTTTCACTGCCTTGGACGTTGATTGTGTGACGTTCGGAGCGAGAACATACGAGAACAACATGCAACTCCATACGTCGTCAGAAGGTGCCCCAAAAACCCACCCAACCTGTCACGGTATAAAAACCTAGTGCTTTGCTGTCTTTAGGACAAATATACTATTGTGTGCGTGTGTGTGTGTGTGTGTCCAACCCTGGACAAAGGGTCTTTCACCACCACTCTTTCCACTTTACATGCGCAGGGGGCTCACGGGTCTGTTCCTGGCGTGAGCCAACGAAGCTCCAGGTTCAGACTAGGATATCGAAAGAGGACGCTCTTTCGACGTACCTGCAACCTGAACTTTTGACCACGCTGTCTAATTCGCTTTGTTTGTTTCCATGGTTCTTCATGCTTTCCCCCCCAAACCTACTCGTCCCCAGCAGCTGCGCCGCCGATTTGATTGCTGCCGCCTTTGTGACAACAATGTTAAACCTTTCAAGTGCTCGGACCCATGCACCTTTCTGTTCTCTCACCTTCCTTCCCAACGTGACTTGCGTTAACTGAAAACCAGTGTCAGAGTGTGTTTCGCTCAGCCGTCCCACTCGGGTGCTGAGTGTGATCCCCGTCACTGGGGCGCCGATTTTGCATGGGAAAGCAACCACCCCAACGCACCACCGCTCACTGGACTCTCACAGGAAGGCACCGACACCCTCACAGAATCAACCGCCACACCGGCCGCCGGGCCAAAAAACGGTTCTTGAAGAATGCTTCAGATTCCAACTTTCAGATCTCAGATTTCAGCATTCAGTTTTCTTTTCATGTCTTCCAATCATGTGCGTGTTTCTATGTTTGCTATGTTGCTGCCGCGATTCTTTCATCGACAGAACTCAAGGATGGGCATTACAGCTCTTCAGCTTAATTCGAGATGCATGAACACACAACCTATATGTCCAAAAGGGGCATAACTACCACGCCTGCCACCGGTTTTTGAAAAAAGCGCCGAATGCGGCGACCTGTGTGTGTCCAACCCTGGACAAAGGGTCTTTCACCACCACTCTTTCCACTTTACATGCGCAGGGGG